TTGTTCTTTCCTTTTCTTTTTATTTTTTATAGAAATTGTTTGATGTTAAAAGATTAAAATTAAAATTTTTATTTAATTTTATAAAATTACAAATTATTACATTTAATTTTTAATTATGAATAAATTAAAAAAATTAAAAAATTAGCAATAAAGATTATAGAGTTTAGTGACTTAATATGTGATACCCCAAAAATTTCTAGAATAAATAAGTGTGAGTTAGGGACTAACTTGTGAGGAAATATTATTAGTGCAACTAATGACAATTTGTGTTAAATTCAAGGGGCTTAAAAAGGGAAAGAAATTGGACAAGGATCGGGTGATTTTTCTTCCTTCTTTCTTTCTTCAGCCGCGTGTTTCTCTTCTTCTTTCCCGTCCCCCTGCAGCCGAACAAGAAACCCAGCCTCGACGCACCTCCCCTTGAGGAAATCGATAAAGCTTGGTTTTTGCCTTCTTTTCTTGTTCAAGAACCAGATTTGGAGCTTAGAATTCTCCCTCCCTAAAGCAAGGAATTCCAGATCTGCTCTGCGTCTTCCTCCCTAATGGCAATTTGTGTTAAACTCAAGGGGCTTAAAAGGGGAAAGAAATTGGATAAGGATCGGGTGATTTTTCTTCCTTCTTTCTCTCTTCAGCCGCGTGTTTCTCTTCTTCTTTCCCGTCCCCCTGCAGCCGAACAAGAAACCCAGCCTCGACGCACCTCCCCTTGAGGAAACCGATAAAGCTTGGTTTTTGCCTTCTTTTCTTGTTCAAGAGCCAGATTTGGAGCTTAGAATTCTCCCTCCCTAAAGCAAGGAATTCCAGATCTGCTTTGCGTCTTCCTCCCTCTGCCGTCCGCGAGTTGCAGCTTGTGTGATTTCTAGGCAGATTTTTTGGTAAGAACAGCCATGAATCTCCCTTCTTAAGCCTTAATTTGGCTTGGGTGTGCTTTAATTCCTTTTAATTTCTTTCAATTTTGGGTAGTTTGTGTGATTGCCCTCCAGGATCCCGTCGGCTTCCTCACCAGCCAAGCCCGGTTTCTGCAGCTGGAAATTCTAGTATGTTGACAGCCCCTCCAAGCTTGAAATTTCATCAATAAATTGCTGGCTGTGTTGTCTGAAAGTTTTCAGTAATTAGGGGATGAATTCCGATAGCTTTAGGACAAAATTAAGCATTAATTCAAGTGGAATTTATGTGTTTGAGTGTTAATTGACTGTTGTGA